TTTGGTCAGGGTACAAGTTGTTTGTTTAACCCGACAGCTCGGTGCACCCCATCGCACGCTTTGCACACTCATTAAAACGATTATTCACGACCTGTCGAGTGTTTTCGGGTTCATTCACAGGAGAGGCTTGGAGCAAGCGAGCGCAATTCAAGTCAACACTGTCCACTACCCCATGCACGTGAGGAAGAGCTGGTGCGTCCATAAAAAGACAGAGGGAGGGCTGGGTGAGCACACCCTAGCTATACGTCCTGTTCATCTGATGCTCTGGAATCTCAGTTTCGAAAGAATGCCAAGAGTGCTTGGTCCTAAAGAGCCATGTTCCTGTGTTAATTTCAAGGGCTTGGCACAGGACAGAAAAATAAACCAAATAAACAAACTCAAAGCTCTCCCTCCACTTCTCCTTTCAACCTTCCGCAAAAGCTTCAGGTCCCAGCTCAGCCACCTCCTGCCTGCAGCCCTGGGACTGTGAGGCTCCACCTCCCAGTGCAGATGCTGAGGTTAAGCAATTCCAGGAAAACTCGACAGGTTGAGGAGATACCTTTTCCATCTCCCAAGACCCTTTCATCCTCAAGAAATAATTCAGTTAATTTTCTCCCCAATATATCTCACAAATACTGGAGGGGATGGGGGAGCTCAATAGATGAAGAATTGGACTATAAACCATATTTGGTAGATGTATCCCAAAATTTTAGCAAGGAAAGATTCATCCTCCAAACAACAACAACAACAAAAAACCCCTATAAAATGAGGAGTAAATAGCCCTCAATAAATTAAGCTACTTTTATTTTCCAATTTCCAAGTCATCTTTCCACATTTTGTAATGACAATAAGAGAAGCAGGCAAATGCATCACAATCTCCCCCTATTACATTGCACATGTAAAGAACACCCCATGGTCTTTAGCGTTGTATTTGTTCAAATGAACCCTGCTACATAACATTTACATGTGATATATTAGTCCAAGAAATGCCGATCTTTATAAGACAGAATGGTACACATACACTAAATAATAGAATAAATGAGTGTATGCATTTAATATGTACTGGAGAACTCTGAAATATCCTGCGTAGTATAAGTATCCCTGGCATAACTTAAAGTCAATAGATATTTTTAAAACAAGGCCATTTCTATATTCAAATCCTGCTGCTCCTTGCTTTTTCATTTAGGGCATTAGTGAACACAGAGGCCACCTTATTGTTATGAGGGTAGCTTAGTTGTGCCAACAGAAAAGGACAAGACATTCATCAGTTTCATTCTAGCATATCTGACACCATAAAATTACCTGTGTTTCTATTTTATTGAAACATATCAATACAATATGTGAAGAGAAGAATGGAAGTTTTCAAGTAGCTCGAGGTTTTAATCAGAAACAGTTAATTACTAAAAAAGCAAGTATGAGTAAGTAATTTTATAAACTCTTTGGGTTGGCATAATTCACTATTAGGTTTACTTAAAACTGATATATCAAGCGTGTTTCCTATATATACGCTTTCATTAAAACCAACCTGTGATGATGATCAAGAGGCAGATGCTGAAATACGTAAGTAAATAACCAAGAGCCTCTATATAAATAAACACAAATCAATGCAACAGGCAACACTATCGATGTATGAATGATCAATTTTAGTCTTCCAACCTACAATAAGCTCAAAATGTATAATTAAAAGTATATTTTCAACCCCATTAATACTACTACTGGAATAAATAAAAAAAATAAGTAACAAGCCCTGATGCCAGTTCTACCTGATGCTTTCGTTCAGTCTGAAGTACTTTTGATGGGTTGGGAGGAGTACCTACCATTTTCTAAGAAAGCTTTGCCAACTTTAAAACTACATTACTAATTATAAAAATTATAAAAGTATTAAATAACAAAATTACCACCTTATTCTTGTTCTGAATTTTTCAACCTGCATCATAGCCTCTAATTATTCATTCATTCAGCACATTTTAATAGGAAAAACACACAATAGTGCTCATTATTTTAAAAGATTTTTGAACGATCCTACTACCTTTGGTTTTAAAGATTCTTTGGGCTTTTGTTAAAACAAATGAGAAAAAAGTCATTTCCTTAATATATCCTGGAAGCTCTCATGCCTGTGCCTGCATATGCAAGCAATCTGAAACAAGGGGAGGGGGGCGGGGAGCATCTGCGCTATTCCAAAATTGTTTCATATAATGATTGCAAAACAAACAAGTGTCTGACTCAAAGAAATAAATATACTTTGGATTTCTAGAAATTCACATCTAAAACATTTCAGATCTTGCTTAAAGTTAAATTTCCTTTTTGAGAATACCCCTGGATGACAGAATTAATTTAGATTAGCAAGCACCGGTATATGATGAGTCTGAGCATTTAGGTTTTGTAGAGTAATGAAAACACTGTGTTCATATTTTTTTCTTAATCAACAACGATGCTTATTTACAGCCATCCTTGAATTAGTGTGGTCCTTCTTAAGCACAGGCCTCTAAAATAATTTATTTATAAAATTCATCTTCTTTGGTGAAAGTGATTTCTCTTACATAACATCACCAGCACATAAATATTGATTTTTATTATCTTTACATTTTTATGTGGCCAAGCAATCTCTTTGATTCCTCTCCTTCCCATCTAGGGAAAAGAATTCAGGGCAACCGGACCCAAAGGGAAAATACCAAGTTATTGTTTAGGGATAATTTAACAGATAATTTAGCTTTAAAAAACAATGATCAGGTCACTATTTCAGAGCAGTGAAAAAATGAGGACCTGAGAACAACTCTCCCTAACTAACCCCACCACAGCCTTTAGTCTTCCTGATCAACGGAACCAACAATGAATATGTTTGCATTTTACACCCGCATTCTGATTTAAAGAATGAGACAAGAAAAGAGGGAATAAAACTGAAGACTACGACCTGATTCTGGAAGTGCTACCTGAGCAGGCAAATTAAACTCAGGCAAAAATGAATATCCAAACATGTCTGGCAACTGAACACGCTTTTCACTTGGACACGAACCTCCAAATCTCAGCAATATGCAATGTGCTTTCCTCCCGGGAAGCTCTTCGGAAAGGCCAAAGACCATGAAAGAGGATTATACATGTCAGGCACCGGACCTCGGAAAGGACTTGGGGCATTTTTATCTCCCCTCTCACGCCCACAAAAATAATATTGAGAGTTATTTGTTATTATTTTGAAAACCTTTTATGATTACAATTTCAAAATTTCTGCCTACCTCAAGTTTGACAGAAGGCCAGGTGAGGATGATGCTGAGGCATGGAAATTGGGTCTTACGGGGGATGGAGGGACAGGCAGAAGTGAACGAGCTCTATTCTGCATTGTCCTTCCCTTCCCCTAGTACTTCCATGGCTGGAGACCACAGCCTGATGCTCTCCCGCACACTCAGGGATGCTCTGCCCACCCAACCTCCTGCCTCCCTCTCCCCAACCCAGGGCCTCCCTTAGTACTTAAGGGAGTTCCCACCCCAAGGCTACCTCTTTTCCTGTTTAAAAAGACAAAAACAAAAAGCCTTCACCTTGGCCTACACGCTCGGGTAGAAAAGGAATAAGAGGTCGAAAGCGAAATAGAAGAGCAGGGAGAGTAAAGGAGAAAAAATGTCTATTACAGAGAAAACAGTGTTAGCAACTAGCAAATAAGTGCTGAGACCTGAAACAGCACCAGGTAAACAAAAGAATCAACTTTTATGGGGTAGGGGAAGGAAGGGGAGAACACGGGGGGAGGTGGGGGGGGGAGGGAAAAGGTGGGGAAGCGCACCAGCCGGTTCTGGAGTCATTTTCCCGGGCTCCGCCAGCGTGAGCTAGGGAACGCAGAGCTCTGCTTGTCCTGGGCAAGAGCGCCCTCACCTTGCCGCTCCCGCGCAGCGCTCGTCTTCCCGAGGCCGGGATCCGCCGCGGGTCCCAGAGCGCCTCTCCTCCCCGGGTGCGCGCGGCCGGCCAACGCCGCCGGACCCAGCGCTTCTAGTCTTTTTAACAGATTCCACAACCCGAGGGGAGAAAAACAAAACAAAACAAAAAGCGCTGGGTCCCTGCTGTTAGGACTTCAGTTCCCACCATCGTGCCTCTCTCTCCCACTTCATCCCCAGGAGGCTCCGAGAAGGCGAATAGGAAATCGCGGCGAAGCCCCCGAATCCGCTTCTGGCGGAACCGACCTGTGTCTGGGGCGCTCAGAGCCACTCCCGGGGCAGCCAGGCCCTGGAGCTTACACCTCTGTGCCCTGAGTGTGCATTAGGAATCAATTATCTGCCTGAGATTCCCAAAGCCGGGAACGGAGCTATTCCCAGCAGGGACACAGTCAAGCCCAGACGGTGCTCATTTCCCTCGTCCTTCGAACCGGCAGAAGGGCAGGCTCCCACCCGGTGCGCGGCACTCTACCTGGAGCAGCTCTGCTAAATCCGCGATGTGTGTGTGCGGGGCGGGGGGCGCTTGACTGACCCAGGCCGCAAAGCTGAGGGTGGATGGCCAGCTCTAGGGGAGGTTGGCAATGTTAGTGTGAAAATGGGGAGGAAAAGCGTCCCCCTCTCCCCCCAAAAGAAAAGAAAACAGAACTTTCGAATGAGGTAAGTCTTTGGCTCTAGAGCAATATAGAGCTTTGTCTCAAACAGGAGAGCAAATACCTACGGGTTTAAACGTTAAGAAAGTCCAGTTAGGATATTCTCGCAGTTGCGGTTAGACTCAGCAATCCTATTTCCACGAAATGAATGACTTTGCACTTTGGGACCTATTTCAGTCTCCTACTAACCCTTCTCCATATAAATTCGCCTGGTTTCTCTTCGTCCCTCTTTGCCATGTCTCCACCCTCTTTACTTAGGGACGCAAAGTGACTTTCTGCAGACATGGAAAAAACATGCATTTCCTCAGCTAATTCCTTGATAGCGCACTCCTCTAAGGAAATAAAAACAAAACAAAACAGGAGCACTTTCGCCAGGGACCTCAAAGTCCTGGTTTAAGCCTCAATCAAAAGTGGTCAGGGGTAGCCCTCCACCCTTCTGAAAATCACTTTTACTTACCGATCTGGGGGGTTAGGAGCGCTCCCAGGCCGCAAATCTTTTCTTCCGCATCCTCAGACAACTTCAGGCAGTCTTGGGTGGAGGGAAAAAACAGACAGAAATCGGAACGAAGAAAATAGACTCAAACCATAACAATACATCACATATTCCTCGGAGCTACATCCTCAGGACTAAGTCCTGGCGAACTGATCGCTACAGTGGGGAAAAGGTCGGTTTAGGGGCCAAAACTAAGAGGTGGATTATTTTAACTGCTGGTGGTTGGGGGAGGGGAGGCCCTGGAGAAGGGATAGGGAATGGTTGGGATGAGAAAAAGCCTTAAAAGAAAGAAAAAAAGAAAAAGAAAAAAAAAAGCACACCAAAACAAAACAAAAAAACCCGAAAATGAAGTACTGTGAAAGACAGTGTCTTTGAACTCTTACAGGTAGGTAGCTTTTAGAGAGAATGCAGACAGGCGAGTATGACTTAAAGGAGAATCTAGATGACCCTTATTCTCTCCATATCTTCAGGATCTGGCTTCACGTAGGAAAAAAAAAAAAAAAAAAAAAAAAGAGGGTAGAATGTTAATGCGAGTTTCACCTACCCTGCTTGTTGGAGTGGCTGCGCAGATTATCATGTTGGAGAGTTCCATCTGTCTGGCAGAAGCTGGAGTGGTGCTGGGGGCAGGTTATCTGGTGAAGTAGGAATGTACAGGAACCCCGCCCTCTAGGCACAGTTACACAACCCCAGCATCCCATCCCAGCCAGCTCTGAAACCTCTAATGATCTTCACCTTCACCTCTTACTAGCCTATTTCTCCAGCAGGCATTTTGTCCCCAAACACAACCAGACACTTTAGCTAGTCATAACATTAATATCTCAGCTCCTCAGCAATGCTGTAGAAAATACACTTTTTAAAAATTACATTTGTATATTTAGAATTCTGAATATATTCAATTTATCCACCTATGTGGGTGAAGTATGCAACTTAAACATATATAATCAACACACAACAAGATTCACTTTTTGCCTATCTACCGTTGATTTTATGCAAGTCATAGAAATCACATGAAACAATAAAGATATTTGTATTAAATGTTGAAACATATTTGGAAGAAGCCTTTTCCGCTCTAACTAAGCCATGTTCTTAATGTTTTATATATTAGTAACTTATAGTAACTTTATACCAGATAAATTCAAGTAAAATACTTTAAACCTAGGAATAAAACGTAATTTAGAATTTCAAGTTATAAGTTGTGATCATTTTTAGCTCCAAAATCTCAAAAAGAACAATTTCATCTCATTGAAAACAGTTGTAACTAGGAAAGAGGAAACAGTTCAAAAGTTCTGAAATTTTTCTCCTAGTATAAGGTGATTTTAACTGGCAAAGATTGGTGAAAATAAATATTAACACCTTGTTATAATCAATTTGTTGCAAAAAAAAATCTAAATGCCACGCTACATTGTCATGTATTTTTGAAGAAGATAACTTGAAGGATGATAGGATAGACTGAGATAAATGAAATGTTCATATTGGGCAGCAGGAGGACTTCACAAATTTCTCTATCCCCCATTATATATGTAACTTGGACATGTATCCAAGTAGAATTTCCACTCCGGCCTTAGTTCCTATGAATTCAAACAAGTCAGTTTTAATCTTGACTTCAAACTATAATGTTTGCCATTGAAATTCTATTTCTCCATCATGCAAATAAACCCTTATCACAAAAAATATAGATATTTAATATGGCTAAAAAAATACTCAAGGAGGGAATCTTTCTTCCAGATTTTTAACTCAATATAAGAGTCCAACTCTCCAACTTTTGATCGGCAAAAGACTATATTTCTTCGGTACCAGTACATTATCATTCCACAAATAAAACCCCCAATAAAAGCAAACACATCATCACCTTTTTCAGTCTAAACACATGCTTTTCCTTCAGCTGTTTTTGTTCACAAATGCATCAGTGGGGATCTCCTCTGCCTAACCTCATTCACTTGGACTCTATCACTATTTTTAATACCAGCCATAAATTTGGCTTCTAAAACAATTTATTTGTGGGATTTTCTTTCATGCTTCATTCTGAAGAACGGATAAATTTAAAGCAACTTGGACCTTTGGTAAAATTGCTGTCATATGAAAAAAAATAAAATCATGCCCAGTCTGCTTAAAGGAGATAATTAAACTAGCCGTCTTAGTCTATTAGGTCCATTTCCTATTTGCACATACTTGGTTCCAACTCTTTTAATTATCCTGGCCCTTATCTTTCTGTCTTTCGTAGACACCTCCCTTTCTTACTCATTCTTTCCTTTGGTAGTGGGGATTTTTTTTTCTTTAAAGATCCTTTTTTTTTCCCCTTTCCTCCCTTCTCTCTCACTTCCTTCTTCTACCTCCCCATTGGCAACCCATCCATCCCCATATTCCAATATTAACTGTGCTGTATTTCTATTTCAAATCTATTTGAGTCACTCTTGCTTCTCTCCTAGGCTTTATTTTTTCCCCCCTGAGCAACTCTCTAAGTGTTTGCCGATAACATCTTGGGGACAGATTATTTTTCATTGGGCCCATTGTAAGAAGTAGCCAGCTTATTGCATTACTGCAGAACACATTTCAGACTATACAATTGTAACAAATGAACAACTTGTCCTCCATGGACTCACCACAGGATCCAATTAGTTACTAAACCTTTTACTTAGGTTTTATAATTATTTTCTGGACTCATTGCAATTGGACTGCTGAAACAATTCAAAAATCATTTCATGTTGTTTCAGATTTATATGTATATGCATATGTATGCATGCATATGTGTGTTACAAGTTAAAATTATGACTGTAAACAAAAGAAACAAATCTCTAGATTATACAGACTTATCTAAAAGGGAATCAAATAAATACCTCTACATTGCAAAAATGAAAGAAAATGAGAAAGAGGGATTTTACTGCTTCTGAACTTCTAGAATTTTAAATTGTTATAATTTAAAAATAAAATGTAAACATTGGTCTGCAAGTCATTACAACAGGTGAGCACTTCAGCAAAATCTATATTGCAACTTCAGCACATCTTTATTAGAACTCTTTCATTGTGAGTAAACAACGACCAAAATAAATGCTGACTTAGTATAAATACAAATATTTAAACAAAAATATTTGCAGCATTCATAGCGCAAATTTTACCTGAACTGAAGGGCTCTGTGTGTCTATATATATTACATATTGTGTGCATTATATTCACTTAGATCTAACCACATACATTTATTTATAGTTTGCCAAGTGGTATAAACAAGATACCTGAAACAAAATATATAAAAAGTAAGCATTCTATTGACTGATTTGAAAATAAACACAGGGTGAATAACTATGCACATTAAATTATCTCTTTTTGAGTATATCTACAGAAACTTAAAAATATCAGCTGAAAAGCCTATACTTTGTTTAAAGCTAGTGTTTATTAAATAGCCTGCTCCTTTGTAAGATTTGATTCCATAATGGAAAAAAATACTCTTTTCATTTAAAGTCTCAGTTCAAATGAAAGGAGCTTTTAAATTTTATTTGGCTGAAAAAGCCTTTGAATTCTCTAGAACTTAGCTCTACTTAATAAAAGAGACAAAAGTATCAAGTTATATATGAATTTAGCCTATTTTTTATTTCTGTGTGTTCATAGTAAACATTTTTGTAAGTGACAAACACGGGCATATGACCACAGTATCACAATCAAATTTTAAGACAACATTAACAATCACTCAAATTTATGCGGCATTTGCGCAACACAGGTTACATATTTGCAAGGTTTACCTATAAGTACAATAGGTATTAACATTTCACTACATTTAGAAAAAATAAAAGTGACCTGTTAGTGACCACATACATCAAAATATACACAACACAAACTGAAGGCAATCATTAATTTTGTCCCCTTCCAATTCATTTGAATGGGCAGTGCTGCCAACTGAAACAACTTTCTTTTTTTTTTTTTTTAATACTTAGTATACCAAGTGCATTTTCTAGAACCCAATCTTTGGTCTAAAAATAAACAAAAGGAAAAAAAAACAGTTTTTAAAAAGAAAAGGACAAAACAATAAACGGCCAAAATAATTTCTTGGGCACCTTTACTACGAATGCTTCTTAAATACAAATTACAGTTTAACATTTAAAAACTCTCCCCATAATTTAGGTTGTTCTCAAGGTCTGCGTCCACCATGTAGGTCCATGATAACTTATAATACTGCACACATGGACATCTGGCGGCTCTGAGACTTGTCAGGTTTGAATGAAATGGCAAAGCAGTCACTATTTAGATACACGTTCTACTATAATTTTGACTTCCAAACTTCATATTCTACAATGTATGCTCCCCACATTGCACCTCGCTGACACTCCACACCTTGTTAGAATAATCAACAACCCTAAAGACTGAACAAACGTACAGAAATGGCTGGGGAGGGGGGAGGAGGGGGGGAGGGGGTTGGAGGGGAAGGGGTCGCTTAATAAAAAATACCTGGACTTATTTTTTCTTTTAATTATCATTTACAATGCAAATGTGTGTAAAACGTTCACTTACAGTCTGGTCCCGGGGACGTTAATGTATTAAAGGGTTGGAGGAAGACCCCTGGTTCTGATGTGTGAAATAATCGGACAGTCCCCCGGACAGTCCCGTCGTGAAGCTCGGCAGCGAGGGTCTTAGGGACTCGCAGGGCAGGGTGGAGGGCGCCTGCGGCGACGTGGACGAGGACGCGGCCCGGGCGCCCATGGACGTGCTGCTCTGCGAGGTCATGGACGGGTGCGGGACGTGGGGGAAAAAGTAACTGGTCTGGCCCGCGAGCAGGTTGACCGAGCAGGGGTTGAGGGAGTAGGTCCCGGAGCAGGGCACCGACAGCCCGCAGGGCACCGAGGCGGCGAGCGCGGCGGCCGTCAGGTGGTGCGTGGCGTACGGGATCTCCCCGTTGACCAGCCGGTCCACGCTCAGCCCGTTGGCCGTGGAGAAGGAGTGGTTGTTGCCCAGCGAGTTCTGCGTCAACACGGAGCTGTAGGGCATCGGGTGGCTCGGGTAGGCCGACGCGGTGCCGTTGTAGCTCAAAGTGCTGCTGGCGCGGGGGTGGTGCAGGGACAGGAAGGGCGACATGGGCCAGTAGAGGGAGCCGGCGCGGTCCATGAAGGTGAGGCCGGTGGAGGTGAGGCGCGCCCCGCGCTTGAAGGCCAGCTTGGCCCGCGACGTGGTGGAGCGGCGGCGCAGCTTGCCCGTGGTGCCGCCGATGAACACGTCGTCGCTCGACGGGTCCAGCATCCAGTAGTTGCCCTTGCCCGGGTCGTCGTAGTGGCGCGGCACCTTCACGAAGCACTTGTTGAGCGACAGGTTGTGGCGGATGGAGTTCTGCCAGCCCTGCTTGTTCTCCCGGTAGTAGGGGAAGTTCTTCATGATGAACTCGTAGATGCCGTTGAGCGTGAGCCGCTTCTCGGGGCTCTGCCGGATGGCCATCATGATGAGCGCGTTGTAGCTGAAGGGCGGCTTCTCGTACTTGCCGTTCTTCTTCTCGCCCTCCTTGCCCCCCTCCCCGTCCTTGCCGCCCTCGCCCGCCCCCTTCTTCTCCTCCCCCCCGGCGCCCGCGCCCTTCTCCTTCTCGTCCGGCCCGACGGGCGCCAGCTCCCCAGAGCCGCCGCCGCCCGGCTCGCCCTTGCCGCCCAGGCCGTCCGCTTTGGCCCCGTCCAGGGCGGCGGCCGAGGGTGGCGGCGGCGGCGGCGGCAGCAGCAGCGACTGGGGGCCCTTGTCGTCGTCGGGTCCCGGGGCGCCCCGCGCCTGGGGGGGCTGCGGGGCCTGGGGCGGCGGCGGCGGCGGTGGCGGCGGCTGCTGCTGCGGCGGCGGTTGCGGCGCCGGCGGCGGCGGGTGGTGGTGATGGTGGTGGTGGTGGTGGTGGTGCTGCGGGTGGTGGCTGTTGTGGTGGCCGTGGCTCGCGTGGTGGTTGTCGTTCTGGACGGCCTCCGGCACCAGGCTGTTGATGCTGAACGAGGACTTGGGGATCATTTTCACCTCTTTCCTATCTCCCATGTCCAGCATCACCCAGGCGTCGAGGGGCAGCGGCAGCGGCGGCGGCGGCGGCGGCGCGGGTGCGGGGCAGCGGCGCGGCGGGCGGCGGCGACCGGTGGGTGTCGAGCGGGGCGCGGGCGGCGCGGGCGGCGGCGGCGGCACTGAGCGCTCCGGCAGCAGCGCAGTTGGACCGCAGGCTCCGGCGCTGGCAAGTCATGTAGCACCAGCAGCAACCACCCCTCAGGAATTAGAAGGGGAAAAAAAAAAAAAAAAAGGAAAAGGAAAAAAGAAAGAGAAAAAAAGAAACCACCACCGCCCCGGGGGTGAAGCTCCCTCGCTCCCAACTCTACTTCTAGGTCTCCCCCCCACCCCCCGCTCCCCCCCCCCTGCTGCTTCCTCCTCCTCCTCCTCCTCGCCCAGCAGCAGTCACAGCAGCAGCAGCAGCCCAAAGGGGGGGAGAGCCGGGCGGCGGGCGGGCGCGTCCCGGAGCGGCCGCGGCGAGCTGGGGAGACAGCGATCGAGGCGGCTATAGCCACAATTAATTTTCCGAGCTACAGGCGCACACTCGGGCTGTAAAAAAATTTTTGGTTTAACCTTTCCTACCGCTGGGCCAATCAGAGCCGGCGGCGTGCGGGAGCGTCTCTCCCGCCGCCGACCAATCAGCGGGCCCCGGCCCACCCACCCACGCCCCGCCCACCGGCGCCCGCCCCCTCCGGGGCCCGCCTCCCCCGCGCCCGGGGCCCCGACCTCGCCGAGCCGCCGCGCAGGGATACGCCGGCGGGAGCACGCCGCGCCGCGGCCCCTCTGCGCGCCCCCCGCGCCCCTCCGCCCCGCGGGACTGCTCCACCGAAGTCCCCCTCGTAGGGCCCGTATCTCACATGCCGCCTCCCTCCGCACCGCATTGGGTCCTTTTCGTTTGAGCGTCAGTATTTGTCCTTATTGATTAAAGTTTGTATCCGGTTTTATTTTTAATAGCGGGGGCGGCGGCGGCGGAGGGAAGCGTGGGAGAGCGGGGAGAGGGTGGATGGAAAGGGCAGGAAATGGAGGCGCAGGAGGAGAGGCGCGGCTGGGCACTACTTCCCCCGTCGGGCTGCAGGCCGGCCAGGCCTCCCCGAGCCCTTAGGACTGGGTGCCCCCGGGGGGACCGCCCGGCGAGGCGCTGGCGGGCGGCGGAGGGAAGGTCCTCCCCTGGCGCGGGGAGGGGTGCCCCGCACCTTCGCGGGAGGAGGGCCTGGCGAGGCTTGGAAGCGGTGGGATGAGGCGGGGGAAGGGGGCCGGCGCGCGGGGCGAAGCCGGGGTTACTTACTTGGTTCCTGCGGCCTGGGCGGCGGCGAGCTCGGGGCTGGGGTCGCGCGCCGCCGGGAAGCCGGGCCGGGGGCTCGCGGCGCGGCGGCGGGCGGCGGGCGGGGGCGGCGCAGTGGCGGGCGCCTAGGATGGCCTTCCGCAGTGCGGGATGTGCAGGGAGAAGGCAATGCCCATCTCGAAATAAACCAGGTAACACACGCTCTGCCGGTGCGTCTCTTCCTTCCCCTTCCGTCCGGCTCCGGGCCGTCGCTCACGCGCCGGGTGACTCGTCGCCGTCTCCTCGCCGCTCCAGCGTCTCCTCCGCTTCTGATCCGGCTGGGAAGCGAGTAGGCGCTGGCGATCACCCTGGAAATGTTTTCATTTCGCTTGTTGACATTGGAGGGAAAATAAGGATGGGCGTCTATTTCTTTCCGGTTTTTTGAAGCCTTCCTATTTTCACTCTTCTCTTTCCTTTTCTGACATGCTTTTCATTGGGGCGAGCCTTCACCCCGAAATAACCGCGTGCTGAAGCAGCCCTTTCCCCCTCTTCATGCTGCTGGAAGGCGCCGAGGAGCTTCGGGAGTGTGCACCCCACCATCCCAGCCTCTTGGGCACTGGGGCTGGGAGGTGCGGCTGAGGGCTGAAGTGAGAGGGGAGATGGTGATTCGGGGGCTTTAAAAGGATCCCGTGGCCAGGGGCAGGGCTAAGGCCCGGCATTTCCCAGGGATTGGAATTTGGTTCGGAGCACACTGATCAAAGGCTGTTTCATCCCACATGGGCACGAAACATACCCCTTCTACGGAGGATGTAGGCTGAGAGAAGAGGGAGGTGGAGGCGAAGTATAAATGAAAAGGCACCTTTCCCCCCCCCCCCCTCCTCTGTAAGGGAAAGAACCATAAAGTGTAAACACTTCGAGGAGCTCTCAGATAATCTGGCAGATGTGGTCTTTAAGAAAACGAAGGAAGAATAAAACGATGTGGTGTGAAATTTCAGTTCTAATGTAAAGAATGCAATTAATGAACGCTCAGGGTCATAGGGAGTCTCCACTCTTGGCACCCCACCCTCACCTTGAAATTCTGAGAGAATCAACTCTGAAGGGAAAAATAGACAGTTACAAAATTGGTAGTGATTTCTAAATATGTTTCTATTAGGAATGCCATAAAGGAGCTTTGGGCATTGGACTAACCTTAACTATCCTTCCACTGTATGTATGTATGTATTTTCCCCCAACCCCGATTTCTACATATTTTCTTACTTTAAAACAAACTATATTTACACGTGAGGTTTCAGCTATCAACGTTGATAGTGACAGGGCCCCCAACATTGACTTCTAAGCTCAAATGCCGTACAGGAGCCCGGTGAGCTAGTGGGCTTTTTGGACCAGGCTGGCGAGATCTCTGGGCCTTGGTCTTCCTGCTCACTTTTCCTCCTCCCACTCTTCTCCCCTCCTCAGGCTTGTTATTCCTACTTTTCCTCAACTGGCTTTCCTCCCTCCGCCCCTCTGCCACCTCCCTCCTCACTCCCCCACCCCTTCTCCTCCGTTTCTCTCCCTCTCTCCATTCCTCCACCTACTCACTCCCCGTTCCTCTCCCCCTCCCACAGCCCCCCTTCCCAGCGCCACTTATAATGGCACACAAGGGCTCCCTCTGAGGTGGACGCCCGGTACGTTTTCGTAGTCGGTCTAGCGTGAAATGATTCGGTGTAACCGGATTCTTGGGAAAGGACAGGTTACGTAAACATTTACTGATGTGGAGTAACTATACTATTTGTACTCTGATATGCAGGAAGGAAAGTGTTGATTAACACAGAAGAAAAAAAAAAGCGAAATTAGCTGATTGCATGCTCATAAGTGCAAGCTGTCATTGAACTGCTTTTAAAATAGACACAGCTGGGTGTTTGTGTTGAAAAATTTCTTGTGTTTTTGCTAATACTGAAATAAGCATGATTTTGTATACCAAACATTTTCAGATCATTAAAATTTGTAATCTGTGCTGGTTTTAAACACAAAGAAAAGAAACAGAATCATTTCGATGTAAAATTTGCTGATATTATATTAACTCAATCAGGTCTGTACAAATTGTGCATTGTGCTTCCTAAAATCTGTTTGATCAATTTAATACACAAAGTGCCAAACGTGGGTATTGTTTGTTAACATTGGGCATTTTATTCAAATCCAAGCTCAGCAGCAAAGTGGAGGAGCATTCCTTGAATACAACCACCAGCCCTGACTGATGAATTTTTAATGTTTGAAGGTGTTTCTTAGGTCAAAGCTGAGTGTGCATTGTTTTTGTAATCCTGCATGAAATTTTAGCAGGTGGAAATAAGTTTTTCTTCTGTTTACTTTCAAACAGCAAAAACTGCAGTCTGCTAATGAGAGCTGTAATAATCTGATTTTATGTGCCAGGAGCTTATATTGACTGGAAAAAATGTTTTGCATGCATATTAAGAATGTGTTATATTATTTTAAGGATTGCATGAATGCAAGTCTCCCAAAATAGGATATTTGTGTAGGAATACATAGATTATAGTTTACTATGATCATATTAAAGACCTGGGCTCCCTAATGAAAAAGGTCATTTGCAGTTTTGGGTGAAGTGAGCTTGAGTTCCTGTTAATAATTTTAATTGGACTTTGTAGTGAGATAGAGTGCCATATATAGGTAAGGGGGTAGGCTTGTTGAACAAAACATGCACTGTTTACCCAGCAGCCCACATTTGTCTCAGCAATGGCTTCTTTTTAGAACTGCTACTAGATGAAATGGAGGGGGAGGGGGTTCTTGGACAGAGTATTTTGCAAGTTGAAAGTCCCTGGATGAAGCTTTGTCTATCTTACTGAACAATTTGGGTGCAAACTGGATTTGAAGGACTGCCCATGTCCACTTCGGGCTTCTTTCCTAAACACGCGAAGCCCTGACTTTGTATTTCCACCTCACTCAGTCAGGGTGATTGTTGTCAAAAGACAAAGGGCACCTAGTGGTCTCAGATCTGAAACAAATTCTATATCATTCTAATATTTTTTCATCAGCAGCTTAATTTTGAGCACACACACATACATCTACAAATGCACCTTGTTAACGAATCAAAGCATAAGTCAGAGCAAATGTAATTTTCTGGTATATATAGTGGTGAACTTTTCCTTCTCTGGCTACCGCCTGCCCCCACCCCACCAAAAGGAAGGACAGACTCAGTGAGCAGTTCTAACGGAAGAATTGCTTGGGAAATGAGTTAGATTATTCCGTTTCTAGTTGTAATGAATAACCAAGGCTCCACAGCCTATTGCATCCCAGTAGGGAGCAGCGCGATACTTTTTCTATTTGGCGGTGATGCATTGTCTTCCTTGGGGCCTATTTCCAGCTTTCCGTGCTTCCCTTCTTTTTTCCTTGTTACCTGCTTGTTAAAGGAGGGCAAGTCATTCCTACCTAAAATCCACCCTGCACTCAGCTCCCTGGATAGGGTATCCCTGAAGGGGAGCCCAGCGTCCAGCTCTAGCTAAAGCTCTCTTCCTGCAGATGCTCAGGGAGTCCCTGACCCGGTGATGTGTGGGAGCGAGTGGAACCCATGCAGAGGCACCCAGGTATTTCCAGAGATCCTGTAACAAGAAAGGTCGCCCCCATTTGAGCCAAGGTCTCTGTAATCCCTTCCTAACAGCAGGTAATGGTGCTAACATTTAGTGATCATAAATTACTCTTTAGCGTGTTGTATCCTTGTTCTGTGGGTTTTGGTTACAGGTTATAAGATTAGGTTTGCGAGAACAGTAGTGAACTAAACTTCTCAGTAAGAGGTCTTCACACCAGGGAAGTGTTACTTTTCTGCAGCAGCCCTGCCTCATCACTCATTAGGGAGCTGCAGGTTGTCAGGCGGCTGCACTCTGCACGCGCGCACCCTCAACATCCCCGGGGGCGCGCATATATATATATATATATATATATATATATATATATATATATATATATATATTCTGTGCTCTCTCACACACACAGCACTAAAACTAAATTAAGAAGCCGATGATTAAGACAAGCGTCTACTAGG